TTCTTTATATGTGTCGCTTTCTCCTCCTCCAGTTGGTGAGTTCTCTTCTCACTGATGCCACATAGCAAGGTATTGTTGGACACTTTCGTTTTCGTCATCAGAGCCGTTGATCTGACAGGCGTCTCAACAGACCCTCTCGAAAGACACCTTTAGGCAATAAGTATGTTCCAAGAGCTATACAATTATTTCTAAGATGTTTATAATAGCTACATTTTTGGATGTTTGTTTTTTTCAGCCTAATAGCGAAACTCAGAATTTGGATTAATACTAAAAGGACGAATTCCAATGATCACGTGGTTCTTTTGAAAAATATAAATGTCTTATCTTATATAATACAGATGTTACTTCAAAAAAGAAGATGATTATGCCCTACGCGTCATGCATTCAGTCATGCATATTAACCAATGAAATAAATTCTGCTAAGTCACTGGTTCTCCTGGCTAGCTCAGGCAACCCATTCCATGCTCTATTAGCACTAGGGAAGAAGGAGTATTTGTACAAATTTGTCCTAGCATATGGAACGAGAAATGTGCCTTTATCTTTTTCTTAATGTATTTTCATAGTAGGGCCTACAACTAACTATGTAAACTGATAGATACATATATATATTCTACACTAATCATTCGTTTCATAAGATGACTAAGTCAACAAATTATACAGAGGATAATATCAATGATTTCTGTATACGTTGAGGTGTCAATATTTGTGATATATACACACATTCACGATCACGCAAACAAACAGGATCACGTCACACGTGATACATCCACAGTCTTGACTTAATCCTGTGAACCTCCACGGGAGCATATGGTCACAGTCACGCCTCTCCATCAAACTCAGTTCTAAGCACAGTGTCACACACAAACATCAAGGATCACTTACACAGTCCGTCTCATTTCACACATAGCCTACACACTCAAAGGTTTTTGTCAACTGTTTCAATCTCACATAGTCTCACGTCACACAAAGAGACTTTTGTCACACTTGTTTCAATTTACACACAGTCTCACGTCACACATACAGAGACTTTTGTCACACTTGTTTCAATCACACACAGTCTCGCGTCACACATACGGAGACTTTTGTCACACTTATTTCAATCACACATAGTCCTAAGTCACACACAGAGAGACTTTTGTCACGCTTGTTTCAATCACACACAGTCTCACGTCACATACACAAAGACTTTTGTCGGCCTTGTTTCAATCACACACAGTCTCACGTCACATACACACAGACTTTTGTCACGCTTGTTTCAATCACACATAGTCTCACGTCACACATACAGAGACTTTTGTCACACTTGTTTCAATCACACATACAGAGACTTTTGTCACGCTTGTTTCAATCACACACAGTCTCACGTCACACATACAGAGACTTTTGTCACACTTGTTTCAATCACACACAGTCTCACGTCACACATACGGAGACTTTTGTCACACTTGTTTCAATCACACATAGTCGTAAGTCACACATACAGAGACTTTTGTCACACTTGTTTCAATCACACACAGTCTCACGTCACACATACAGAGACTTTAGTCACGCTTGTTTCAATCACACACAGTTTCACGTCACACATACAGGGACTTTTGTCACGCTTGTTTCAATCACACACAGTCTCACGTCACACATACAGAGACTTTTGTCACGCTTGTTTCAATCACACACAGTCTCACGTCACACATACGGAGACTTTTGTCACACTTGTTTCAATCACACATAGTCCTAAGTCACACATACAGAGACTTTTGTCACGCTTGTTTCAATCACACAGTCTCAAGTCGTATACACACCGACTCTCAACATACGAATACACTACATGCACCGGTACTGAACTAGACTTGGTGTGACATTCGGGGAACCCTTACTACCACGGCCCCGCCCTTGACACCATATAGTCTACACCGGTAATTCCTACTGAATTCTGGCGTGCGACCTTCGTAGCCCCGTAGGCTCCGGTGCTGGAAACAAAAGGACGCCAAGAAGTGGCCTGGTCATTTGTTCATGTCTGACGGACACTAAACCAGAGATGACATTCAATCAATACTCCCCAATGCTCAGGGCGCTATTCGATTGCACTACACTGGAGTCGGCACGAACCAAAGTTCTGAAAATAACTACGCCCACAATATTTATTCTCGTTCTGCGTGGTTTACTAAAAAAGAAATCGGTTCCCTATCGGGCAATATTAAAAAGTGACCTAATCACCCATCTGTTGCGATAACGTCTACATCCGTGACAAAAAAAAGTCTAATGACGTAATTGCGACCTTAAGGTGCGGCAGGAAGGTACGCTTGGTAAGACCAACTAAAGAACTCACCTGGACCACGTGACTTTGCTACCTCCTAATTAATTAAAAGTTAACACAAAGTTGTAGGATATAGTTCAGTGGCGTTGCCTAGAAAAAGGCGGAGAGGGGGCTGTGCAATACAATTTGCTTATCCAAAAGTGATATGGCCTTCGAAAAAAACTTTTGAAAGATTTGTGTTTTAAGTGAGAAAAAAACTTGAGACTGTCACTTATTATATCCCCATCAATGCTTTTTTTTTCTTAATCTTTAGACGAACCTGAAACATAATCTTATCTTATATAATACAGACGTTACTTTAAAAAAGACGATTATTACGTCATACGCGTCATGCATATTAACCAATGACCTAAATTCTGCTAAGGCACTGGTTTTCCTGGCTAGCTCAGGCAACCCATTCCATGCTCTAATAGGGAAAAAGGAGTATTTATACAAATTTGTCCTACCATATGGGATGAGGAATGTGCCTTTATCTTTGTGTCATTCTGAGTATTTTATTAAATTTTGTTTTTGCATTTGAAGATTATGGTTCAGTGTTTTATGTAAAATTGCTACTTTATCGGTACTTTTGAGTCTTCTGTCCTGAAGGCTTTCTTACAGTACTGATATATGTAGACCTATGTCTATAAATATGGAATTCTTCCCCTAGATAGGCTTTGTTTTGTTTTTCTTGTGGTAATTTTGTTAGTGATGTGGCCTTCTGCTAAGCTTATATAAGATAATAAAGTTATCTACAGATGATGAAGTCCGACCTTTCATTTGATAATTTAGAATACATTATTTTTATTTTTTTTAAGTGAGAGTCATTCTTTATTTTTTTAAAATTCTGATTAAATGTCAGTCAAATCACGTTCATTTGAATTGATCTAAATTAAACTTTAAGCCGAAGATTTAAAACAAAAAAAAAAGGGGGGGGGGGGGGGAGGATTTTAAAGAAAGATTCAGGGATAAAAGAAGGGGCGATAAATTTAGGCCAAGCCACGAATGCTTGTATACAGTGTGAGACACATTATAGCCGTGTCCATTGTATAAGTATTTCCTGCACATCCTTGAGAAATACATGACATTTGACATACTTCTCTTAGTGTGTCAATTTATGGAGGACATTCCGAATAGTATTAAGAATGGCTACTTTTTCTATTCTCGGACTGCAACTAAGTTTCTGAACATGGGAGATACCATCTTACACTAGATGGCGGATTGCACTGCTAGCACCCGAAAGAAAAGGAGGTGGGTTAGGGGAAGGAACGCTCCTCAACAAGAACTAAGACGTCTGTGTGTGTGTGCTGGGTGGGGCGGGCAAAGCTTCCCTGTCCGGCTTCCCGGTGGAAACGTTCGTACCGTGAAGACGAAAAGGAAGCAAAACAAGCACCCCCGTGGCGTGCCCAATGAAACCGAGTTGATTGCTGGGGATGAAGCCTCACACATTGACAAACACTCTACGGTTGGTGAGCTTGGGCTTCGACCTCACTCTCTAGTTGCAAGTGTCTTGGGATTCAAGCCCTTTCAGGGGGGGGGGGGGGAGTGACTAATTTGAAACTGGCACAAGCTTTTTTAAAAAAAAATATTTGGGAGGTTTCCGTGCAGCTTTAAGGCACTCAAACACAACTTAACATAAGCCCACTTGATAGATAAGTGAAGCTGTTTAAGTCGCTTAGCAAACACAAGCCCACTTGATAGGTAAGTCAAGCTGTTTATGTCACTAAGCAAAAACAAGCCCACTTGATAGATAAGTCAAGCTGTTAATGTCGCTTAGCAAACACAACACAAGCCCACTGATAGTCCAGCGGTTAATGACTTTACGTCACTCAAACATATTCAACAAAAATCTGAAAAATAGGCTTTTATCCAGAACAATGAAGGGGTGTGGTGTCCACTTACACCAATGACAAGTCTTGGGGGTTGGGGAGGACAGAAATTAGTGTACCCACACCAGCCTTACTTATTTTTCTTGACTCTGAAATTCATGCCAAGAAGAAAGTCTATAACAGAAACAAGGTATCTATATATATCTATATATATATATATGTCAGGGTGATATCTGTTTTAAAAGCTTCCACTCCACAGCATCTTTGTAGGGGTCAGGGTCCATCTTTCCCCCTATTATCACCCTAGGGAAGATATGATTATTTTATTGGATAGCTCTTTACCGAGCCCTCAGTCCTAAGGTTTTCCATCAACTAGATGCTCTATTATTCACATCCATTTCTTGCATCCTATAAGCAGTGTGAACCGTTGGCCACAGAAACAGATGAACTTATCATATGCTCTATAGACCACAACGTTTGAAAGGGTAACTTTACTTTGACTACTTAATAAGTACCGGTAGTGTGAAGAATGCGGAAGATTGCCGAATGTTTCTCTGGAAGTCTCCCATCTGGAACTCAAGTTTATAATTATGTCCATGATCAATGGAAGTGGAGTGGAAACAAAAGTTAATTCAGCGTCTGTGTGAAGACACTACTTGCCAACTATTACCCTAAGCCAAGGGTTCTCAACCTCTGGGTTGCTACCCCTTTGGGTCGCCTAAGACCATCGGATTTTTTTTTCGTTTTTAACGTGTTGTAACAAGCAGATTTGTATCATGTTAGTTATGTATTTACATTTTTACTAATGCAGAAAAGGGACATTACTTAGACTACATTACTATCATGAATAATCATGAAATGATCATCAACCATCAAGTACCATAATTAAAACATCAGCCCTTGAAACTTTTTATTAGGTGGCTCTCAGAATTGCCAGAGCTAAGAAAACTCACACCATTTCCAAGAGTTAATATTGCCAGTGGACAAAAACATTGCTCGAGTTATGATTGGAGCTGATTTCTTTACTTAATTTAGTGCTATTTCATTATTTAATGAAACAGTTCACAGGAAAAAACAATTGACATGTCTGCTGATATTAACAATCAGGTAATTCAGGAAAAAGATATCCACTTCCAAATATTTAGCATCCAGATTGATGAATCCACAGACCTTGTAAATTGTTCACAATTACTGCGTTTTCTTGAGAAATATACATAATAGCGATGATAAAAATAAGTTTCTATGCAAACTTCTTGAAATTAAATGAACAGAAATTTAGGGTTGTGGGGCACCGTCAAGTGAAAAATTGTATTAGGGGGTCGCGGAGCTAAAAAGGTTGAGAACCACTGCCCTAAGACCAAACAATTTAAGCCACAGCTCTCACTGTTGCATAGCCTGTAACAAGAAAGTCAACAGAAGAAGAAGAAAAAAAAAAGGTTCTGTATCTAGATATAGAGATATAAATATATTCTATTCATGTATGTAATGTTATAGGTTAAGGAAGTTACAAAGGTAATGTTATACACAAGACATGATCAAGTTATCTGTCCATTGATTCACTGTTGATACAAAAATAGAGTTGAATATCTACAAGCAACTGATCATTCAGAATCATCACATATGTATCAAATAAACAAATATACATCTTTTTGTATGTTTCCATTATTAAATGCTCTTGGGTCAAATCAATGGTCTTCAATTACCAAAGGGCAGACAAGCATTTTAAAATTGTGAAGATCTATCTCAATATTTATCTCCCTTCTACAACCTTCTTCACTACAACAAGCATTCAATGCAATAATTTATCATAAGTATTTGTCCAAATTTCTGTTAGTGTTTATGCTGACATAGAAAAAACCTTGAGGCCACATTCTATTGCTAATCAAATAATAAATGGTACAGACTTAAGCTACATACACAGACTTAGTTTCTTGGCATACAAGTAAAGTGTATACTAGCGAGCCTTCTAGAGGAAGCATGCATACTTAGATGTACAAGTGAGTAGATACATACACAATGAAGTCAATCATTCAATGTTTTGTAGAGATGTCAAAGTTGTGAAATAGTCAGACATTAATTTACAATTCTTCCTCAAAATGTTTGCTTCACAACAAAACTGACTATTCAAATAAAAAAAAACAACTACTAAAGTGTTAAAATAAAAATTCACAACCTGGGCCAACAGGCAACACCTTATGGCCTTAGGGTTCACAACCCTAAATAAAAGAACTAAAAAAAAACTGGTAATGATAAAGTCAATGGGTTATTGCTCTTGATAAATTTCACTACTAAAAAACTCAAACCTGTAATACAAGATGGAGATAATCTTTAGTAAAAACGATTGCATGATATGCATTCTAAATATGGACAATCCTGAAAGAGTTGGCCTAACAGAACAGTCAAATTTTGTTCAACACTATAGAATGGGCAATGAGGAAGTTGGGAACAGTGTGGAATGCCAAGTTTGAAGTACATGGATGAGGCAATGAAATGAAACAAACTAATATCTTGATAGTGTACAATAAAGTCAGTCTTTGATTGCTTGCATGTTTGTATTCAATGAGAGCAAGAGAAAGTCTTACAAGACACACAATGGAACTGAATGTTCCAGCTCACACAAATATATGCCTTGCTTCCTCTGCAGTCCTCTGAATCAGCACCAAAATAGTTGGCTAATAGAAAAAGTGAGTTAATACTCAAGATGTTGAGTATAAGTCAAACAGGGTAGGTCAAGGCTGACTTAGAGCAGCTTCTAACTGTAATGTCTTCCTATTAAATATGTTATATGTTAGCTAATGCTGAGATTAATTATTCTGTAACTTAACTTGGAGACTCTTTTGTTACCAGCACAGTAGCAAAGAATTTGTGCTGAAGAATTGTTATTTATTAGAAAAAAAAATCACCCAAACTTGAAAAAAACAAAAAAATGTAAATATAGAGAGCAATGATCTTTAAGTAGAGTTGACATGTAGCTCAGGCACCTAGGCTGTAACACCACAACACTAAGAAACTAGAGACAAAGATCTTCTAGTCTAGTTTTTTTCTGTTTTTAATCAAACAAATATCAGTGAGTTTCTTGAACATCAGTACAAACTGATATTAAGTAAGTTGTGAAAAATTCAGGCAATATTTATTGGTAGAACTTTGCAAACTAAAGAATTTAAAGAACAAGTGGTTCATTATGTTTGGGGAAAAAAAAGCAATTACTAACAAACCTAAAATTTAAAAAAAAATATAAAAAAATGCTCTACATAAAATATCAGTTAGTCACATAATTTTGTTAAATTCTAGAAATGAGCTCTATTATCCTCAGTTCAGCTGTTATATCACTAATAGACCAATTGTTCAGTTGCACAATTTAAAACAAAAATAATAAAAATAGAAAAATAAAGCACAAACACAATATCTGGGACAACTGATTCATAGAACAGGAACCATGTCTAATAGTCAATGTAAATATTCTGAAGGTAGCTTAGCCATTATTTACATCCATGTACAAATAAACTGAACCGGTACATTGTATACATACAACATAAGGCAGAGATTACAATATGGCTTCTAGAGTGAACAATATGTATGTATACAAATACATGAATGACGAGTTATATTTATAAATGAAATAACTTTTTCACAACATTTTGTAGTTTTGTTCTCCAAAAATAAATTGGCTAAAAAAAATGTTTATAAAAACAGGAATGCCAGAACAAGAGAGAATGACCAGTGCGTGTGCAGATAGCCAGTCGACAGAAAGATGTCATCACAATGAACTTCACAAACTCTATGGGCGGACCAAGGTCAAGGCAAAAAAGTGGGATAACCTTGCAAGTGATTGCAATTTTCTAAAACAATGTTCTAAATGATTACAAAGAGAACTTAGGGCTTTAAATAAATAAATAATTTTTAATCATCTTTTTATTATTTCTATTGAACTTGATAATTAATTATAAAACAAACAACATTTCACTGGAACAACTTCAGACAACAAGCCTTATACAAAGGTAAATTAAATGACAAAAGTCAACCAAATCAAATGCAGTAGTGTCAAGATTGTCATTGTCGGGTCACACTTCAATAAAACAGGGAGCACACAACAATTTGAGAAAGGGGGGAGGGGCAACAACTAGTATTTGAAACAATGTTTATAATTGGGTTGGAAAAGATGAGGGTTCAATGCAGTATGGGGCGCAGTTCAAATTATGAGCAGGCTACAAGATTTGTGGACTCTTCATTAGCTAGGTTATAGTCAGAAGACCTAGGCTATTAGAAGACTTTTGGTATTAATAGACCTTATACCTTCACCATGATTAAAATATATTTACAGTATCATCACATTAATATTCTATTAGCGTAGATACAAATATATATTATATATGTTTGAATATTTCTGAATAGAACTGATAAAAACTAGTCTAATTTGAATTGACTCTCACAACAACAAAAAAATATAAATAAAACTGTACACTACTAGTTACTAAAACTTAGCACTGCTTTACATTATATCCAAGTTGAACAAACTTCAAGAAACAGTAGCATCAAGCAGGAAACTAGTCAACATTGGGTTCTACATTTAGTTCTGATGCAGTGTCTTGAAGAGAAGCCTATTACCATTGTCACATTCGTTGTAGTGGAAAAAAAAAAAGAAAGAAAGAAATAGATGAGAGAAACATCCCTCCATGTGTGTGAATTATGAATCCATCAAAGTCCCACCCAAATATAAAGTTGGCCTGCTAGATAAATCTATCAGCCATGTTAGTATTTGGTTTGACTTCAAGAAGATTGTGCACAAGTCTGATACATGCTGTAATTTATATAGTTTAGATATATCAGCCCTTATAAAAGATGTACGTCTTGCCTGGTGCATAGTACATTTTGATTTTTTGATGACAGCCATTTTGTAGGTGGATTTGACTTTCTATGACATGTTTTCTAGCATACAGGAATGGCTGACACATAAACTGACACTTAGGGCTGCTATGGCCTGAGTTCTCTTAAGTTATCAAACTGTGAATTGTACAGCACTTAACATGGACTGTGACGAGTAGAACGTATTAAAGGAATAAGGCATGATGGTCCCCCAGCTTCTCTCAAAAATTGATGCTGCATCAACTCAGCAGCTGTCGCCCGTTGTGCATGGTCACGGACTAGCATACGATCTAAGAAACCTTGCAGTCTTGGAGAAACCTGTATGATAAAAAAGTCATACATTACTTTACATGTAATAGAAAATGAATACAGAGAATGTGAACATAGGAGTCACAGAGATATGAATGTACTTAAATGTTCCTGTCAAATTCCAAAACTGTGGTCGCAATGGAATTATTTTTAACTTTTCCATCAACATACATGGTTAAACTTGATTTAGTGCGAAACAAATTTAATGAATAAGCAAAGAAATAGACTGGATGTAGCCACTAGAGGAGATATTCACCTTGCTTTGGTTAATTTAAAGCTTGACATTTCTAGTATTGTCAGACTGCAGGAGGCACAAGGTTCTTATTAGCTTAATTTCATTTTTTAGTGAATTAAGCAATAATAATATTTATATTTTAAAAAAACTAAATTTACAATTAAACCTAAAAATAGTAGGTACTAATATTTAATAACTTAAAAGGGACTATTTGAAAGCAAGTCATGACAAGTAGATTAATTTTTATGTGTAATCAATGCAAGCTATTTGACATTATTTTTGTATAACAGTTATAAAATTAGCTATCTGTTATATTGTCCATATTAAGATTAATTAACATTTTATTCAAATTTCCAGTTTCACACTTTAGTATTTTTCTTAGTGGGGTGTGTGTGTGTGTGTGCTGGCGGATGTTTATAAAGAAAAAATATGAAAAGGGGGCAGTTGGCCTAAAGAGTTAAGAGACCACTGTTCTATATCTTGTTGAGATGTCCATAAGTTTCAAGATAAAATGAATCCCTTTTATTAACCTTTTGACCTGGGAAAGGATTTTATCCCGTGGCCAGGATGATGAATTAGTTCTTTACCGACCCCTCTCTCTGGAAGCCCCCAACAATTAGATGATCATTTAATCACATCCGTTTGTTCATGGGTCACAATACCTTCAGCCAACGCAACGGTTCCCCCAATCCATGCCAGGCCAGAGGTCGAGCCCATGGGAAGGGTACTCCATATACCTATAATGTACATGCTCTGTATCTGTTCTATATCTAGTTTAGAGGCCTACTTATTTAACTTTTAAGCCTATGTAGATCTAGATTTGATTTTAAATGTGCTTAATGTGTAGTCCTAAAAAGATTTTAGCATAATATTAATCCAGAGATTACTACTAAATCTAGCTATTCTAGGTTTATATATGGGCTAGAAATTGTTTTGTTCAGATCCACTCGACAGAATGATTTTGTTGAAATTAGCAACGTAAAAAGCCAAAATGTGATGGCTATAATTTTATAACACTTTTAAATATTTATTAAACACTCAAATACAGCAGTGAAAAATGCCTAAAACAGAAAATGTTGATGTGATTGTGAGAATATCCCCTTTTTTACTTTGATGTTGGGTACCTACTATATATAATATACAGCATTAAGACTTGTTTAGATTAACAATCTGGGAAAGTTAAGCTTGGGCTATTGAAATTTGTTGAATTCTCTAGTCTAAAATTTTAAAATTTAAAACACCAACAATTTTAACTATTTCTAAGATTTAAAAAAAAAGTACAAATTGTGAAAGGGATTTAGAAGCTAAACTCTTGATATCTGTTTGGAAGATGAAGTGTACTTACTCGATGAGTGTTTTTGAGTTTAGGTGGAGGCATGTCTCTGATGCGTCTCATAGCCTGCAAAGGTGGTTCATTGAAAAATGGAGGCTCACCATCAATCATTTCAATCACCATGATTCCAAGAGACCAAATATCAACCTAGAATTAAACATGCTATTCATTAGAAAAGTTAATCAAAAGTACAACATATGCTTACCTAACACTAAGAGATCAACATAATTATATGCTTTGTAGATATTCATATAACATAAAAACTTGTTCATGTTCTCATTTCTAGAACTTAAATGAATACCTTCAGTTGTAGCATGCTTTACATTACTTTTGTAAGAGCTGGATTTCTTTCCTACAGCTGAAATAATTTTTAATATACCTCTGGACCATGCTTTACATTATTTTTGTAAAAGCTTAAATGAGTTTAACCATTTCACCACTAAGCAGTTGTAAAAAACTATCTACCCCATCCCCAAGAGAAGGGATATAACTCTGTAACAGCTATTTTAAAAAATCAATTTTTTGACTAAATCCAAAGAAAAAAACTAATAAAACCTAACAAAAACCTTCTTTTTATAATAGAAAAAGTAGACCTAGTGTTAAGCATCATGTTTGAAGACATAAATAGGCCTACAGAGCTCAAAAACATTAAAATATCAAGTCATATTTAGTTGCTTTCCAATCTCCCATTTGACTAGATCTAACATATTCAATACTGGATCTAGCATCAATTTTTTATTTATTTTCACTACTATCGGTCTTAAATGGTTCTAAATCACTTACCCCAATTATTATATCCTTATTTTACAGCTTAAACATTAATATTCCCATTAAAATCTTATTCTATTAAAGCCTAAACATAAGCCTACAAATGTACCATTTTCTAGGCTAGCAAAAAAAAAACGTAATTTTCAAAAAATCATAAAAATCCATTCTAACTTGTTGCAGATACAAAATAAACACCTAAAAATAGCATCACTATTGCTCTTCTAGGTCAGAGTTAGTAAAGGTATAAATAGTTATTTAAAAACTAGCAGTGCGTGCGCAAACGAAACAACCCAAAATTGGCGATTGCCGGCAACTCTAGTTGTCTACCAATAGCGGCGAATCTAGTTGTCAAAGGGTTAAATATACCTCTGGACCATAAGGTAACCTAGAGATGACCTCAGGAGCCATCCAGTAAGGTGTACCAACAAGTGACTTTCTTTTCTGTAGATCTGGTGTTACTTGTGCACAGAACCCAAAATCAGACAACTTCACCTGCAAGTAAGACAAATAGAATATTGTTTCAATTGAAGAATATTTAGCATTAGAGTTAGAAACTACACAAGGAGGTAGGTAGTAGTTGAGAAGTCTAATGCTAGGAACCAGCTGCTATGCTGTAGGATATAGATTCCCCAACAGTCTTGACATTATCCAATTCATCTTGGTCTAACTAAATTTACTAAGACAGTTAAGTATTGAATTATCTTTCTTCTTTATTGTAACCTTTTACCATCACAA